TAGCTTTCCAATTATATCCTTGCTTTGTTTTAGTGCAATTCATCTTTTTTATGTTTCATTAAAAACTAAAACATAAAAGTAATAACATAACCTTATTTGTAATAAAATTTAGAAACTCAAAAATTTTTAAAAAAATATGGAGCATGTGTTGCGGCTTCAATAACCTCCCAACACCACCAGCTTCGACTACCGAATACAATACCAACATGTGTTAGTAATGCCATCTTTTTGAGAGAAAATTTTAGTATTTTCAAAGAGTAAAAATGTCATATTCATGACATTTTTCAGAGAAAAATTGCATTGTTTACGGTGAATGACAGTTTTTCCCTACTAAGAGTTGGCATTGCTAAGAGGATGTCAAGACTCAAGACTACAGGAAAAGTCTCAATGTTTTTAATGTGTTTATCTATTTTTATTTATTTTTAATTTTTTTTGTATTATTTTTTATTACTATTTAATATTTATTATTTTATTATTTTTTAAAAAATACTTTTAACTTTTTTACATTTTTAAACTATATTTTTTAAAAAATGAAATACTTTTTATTATTTTTCTTTTTTATTATAATGTAAAATATGATTATCTTATTAAGTTATGGTAAGAGCAAAAGAGCGCGAGGGAGGGGGGGAGGGGGTATAGTGTGTGCCACGGGTGCACACATCTTGTGTATACCAAGCATGAATGTTATAGAGGAATATCCATTGTACTTTTAGGAGTTATACTTTAACATTTTTCTTACATGTCAAATGATGGAAGAGTGTGAATGGTTTTTTGTTTCTTATATTCCCTCTATCCTTTAAAACTTAGTCAAGTTTGACCGGTGCGATTATTAATAGAGTAAAAACTGTGTGATTGAGATTTTTGTAGAGGAAAGAGAGTTAACTGGAACCTTAAATTCTTTGCTTAAAAGGGAAAATGACAAAATTAGTGTGACATTCAAAAAATGGAAGTTGACAAAATTTTAAGAGATAGGCGAGTACATACTTACACCATATACTATTTTCTCCTTATCACTTACTTCCTCTATCCCCATTGTTACATCTTTTTTTGGTCCGTCTCATAAAAGTCAAATTTGGTAATGTGTGTAATTGTTAATCATTTTACTTAATCTCACTTTATCAATTCAATATCAACCATATAAAACTCGTTTTTCTCGTGAATTGCGCTTTTAATCCATTCTCTTTCTCTTGTGAATTGCGCTTTTAACTGCACGCTTATCTTCAAGAATTAATTTGAATGTCTTCCCGATTGAATTTTTAGCTGAAATTTTGTATTAGTGAACTAGACTTAATTAATAGGATGGTCAAAAAATTTATCAAAAAAATCTTCCGGGAACCGTCCCAAATGACGACGGTCGGACAGTCTTCTATATAAGGCCTTATTTGACAATTTTATGTAAGTTCGAGGACTTATCTGAACTTTTTCCCATTAGAAAATGAGATAATTACCCTACGTATGACTAAAACTTGTTCTTCTTCCCAATCTATGACCTAACTAGTTTTTTTATCAAAATAATACTAAAATTCATAATATTTATATAAAATTCGTGATAAATAAATAAATAAATAAATTAGGTTGACAAATATGCTCTTTAGACTATCTCTATAAAACTCCAAGCTCCTACTATTTTCTTCGACCCTAGCCTCCATTACACCAGATCCGTAGATCCACCCGCCTGCAGCCGCACGCCCCTGCCACCGCCGCCCCATGACCCGCCGTCTCTCGCCGCCCCACGGCCCGCCCCTCGTCGCCGTCTAGGAGTACGTTCGCTGCAGCCAGTAGGTTGATCGCCCAACCACCCTCAGCCCCACACCTGCTCGACGCAGCCACCGCCCAGACCGACGCCACCCACCCCCGCCATCATCCCTACACATGTGTGCTGGCGCCGTTCCAATCTACGTGCGCCACCGCCATCGCGATCCATGCAATCTACCGTCCAGTCGCCCGCCTCTGTCCGATGGGCTTACCTTAATCGTTGGAATGCTGCCAAAACCTAGCAGGGAGGGAGGCCGCAAGGAGGGGTAGTGCGGCGCTGCTTATGGAAAAATAGGTCTATAGCATTCTGTGTGTGAGGATGGACCTCCTTGATTGGGTTTGCTTTGAATACATAGACTACTGCTTTGGAGTTTGGATTTGTTGCGTCAAATTTTTTGTTGGACACAGAGACAACTGCTTTGGACTTGCTATTAGTTTTTCCCTTCATTTTCATTTTTGCTTTTCTATTTTTGAAATTTAGAGTTTCTAAAATTAGGATTTGTTGGCATTAAAATGGGCATTGAACATGGGCAGTGAATATCATCATAGATATTCTTGAATATGGCAGTGAATATGGAAATATATATATTGTACATGGCAGTGATTGAATGCATTGAAAAAGTTTGTTGTGTAATGATTATTACCGATAGTGCAGTAACACAGAGCAGTAATTTCATCATGGAACGCAATATACTTAATTAGACGTAAAATCATAAAATTATTAAATTTAAAAAAATAAAAAATAAAAATTATAGATAATTTTGTAATCTGAATGAAAAGAGAATTAATTTTGGCAGAAGTGCATTGATTATTACCGGATGTGCAGTAATGCCGTGCAGTAATGTCGTGCAGTAACGACAATATAAAATTCAGTGATTTTAATTGGACGAAATAAGTGAAAAATGCACATATTTAAAAATAAGGGCATTTTCGTCATTCAACTTTTAATTAAAAACGTTATTTTATTTTATTTTTGGAATTTCGGTCATATAAAAGTCCAAAAACTAGTTAAGTCATAGATTGAGAAACTCATTAAGTTTGAGTCATATTCTAGGAAATTTCCCTTAGAAAATGGCGCTCATACGTAGTATTCCCTCCGCCCTGTTATTGTCTCATTTCCTATTCACTTGGTCAACACAAATCACTCTTAATCTCTTACTTTATGTATCAAATTTTTATCAAATTTGATTCTGGTTTTTGCGACTTTGTAAATCTTTTAATGTAGTTTGTGAATATGTAATTTTCTTTTTCTAAAAATAATTTGAGTGTGGACATGGATCTGTTTACTTTATCGTCGGTCAAGCATCGTAAACCGCAATGAGACAATAACAAGGGGATGGAGGGAGTATTATTTAAAATATGGGTAACTCGATCATATTTTTATTAAAAATGTTAATCTTCACACCTCATACCATTCTCAAGCATGTACGTTTTTGAATGATTATTACATTGCACATATTAACTTTTGTTTACAAGAGTGCGAAATACCATTTTGCATGTTGTATACCATTTATGTTCTATACATGTTAAACATGACTTACTTACATGCATCATTTTGCATTGACATTTTGATGAATTTTTGTCACTTTTCTTCCGATCAATATGTCATTATCACTTTTAGTACTCGATTTTGATACAAGTTTTTGAAAATTTCCATATTTAGTCTTTTGCCTTTAATAAAAGTAACATATTTGGATTTTTGAACTATTATAATAGTTACATTTTTTGACATCCATTTATTATGTCAAAATCATTGTGCAAGAACTAAAGATGTCAATAGAGCAAATGTGAGAAACTTTGAAGAGGAGGATTAAAAATGTCTCTATCAAAGTAATGGAGGACTAAAAATATACTACCTCCGTCCCCTAAAGTTTGTCACACTTTCCTGAAATGGATGTCCCAAAATGTTTGTTATACTTTTTCAACTTCCTTATTTGGTAAACAAATCTATAACAAACAGTGTCAAACAATGCAAAACAATGTAAAACAGTGTCGCTACAGTATGAAACAGTATCGCTACAATGTAAAGTTAAATTCATCTCTTTAAAACTTGTGAAGTCAAAATATGACAAACTTTGAGGTACGGAGGGAGTAAAAATTATCAATCCAATCTTAAAAGGGTCACTAATACCTCCTAAAGTAGTTAACCCCACCATATTATTATTGAGTTTTTACCCGGAATAATGCTAAATAAATAAATAATACCCAAAATACTGTTGGGTTTAAAATAATTCCCAAAATACTGCTGAGTTAACCGTTGTTAAGAAAAGTCGCCACTCGAAGTGGCGGCTCTTCTCTTATAGTACAAAATCCGCCACTCCAAGTGGCGTCTCTTCTCTTAATCTCTTATGACACATTGTGTACATATATAAAACGCAGTATGTTTGAAGAATTTTTTAGCTGCCTTCCTGATTGAATTTTGAGTTGAAATTTGATATGCATAAACTAGACTTGATGAAGAACAGGTTCAAAACTTTTCGTCGAAAAATTCCACCGGGAAGACCCTCTGATGGTGTTGTCCGCAGGGGGTTCGGTCAGGACGTCATGACAAAAGGGTGGTCCGGCCACCTCAATTTTAGGTGGTTCCGGGTGGTATGTTTTGATGAAATTTTTTGTGTATGTTTTTCATAAAGTCTAGTTCATACATACAAAACTTGAGAAAAAATTCAATTAGAAAGGCCGTCAAATGATTTTTGAAAGATAACTGCGCCGAATTATACATATAAAACGCAATTATCTTTAAAAAATCATTTGATTGCTTTCCGGATTGAAATTGGTTCTTAAACTTGGTATGGATCAACTATCCTTGATGAATAACATACACAAAAAAATTAAGCAAAACATACCACCGGGAACCTTTTCAAATTGAGGTGGCCGGACCACCCTTTTGAGCATGTTCGTCATCAAGTCTTGTTTATGCATACCAAATTTCAGTTCAAAATTCAATCGAGAAGGCAGTTAAACAAATTGTTAAAACATATTGCGTTTTATATATGTACAAAATGGACCGTAAGAGAAGAATCGTCACTTAAAGTGACGGCTTTTGTACTATAAGAGAAGAACTGCCTCTTCAAGTGGTGACTTTTTCCACGATTAACCTAGCAATATTTTGAGAATTATTTTAAGCTCAGCAGTATTTTGAAAATTATTTATTTAATTAGCATTATTTCGGAAAAAAACTCATTATTATTACTGTAAATCCAATAAATACTTTCATCAATCCAACTAACTCGATCCCATCAAGGCGCTTCTTAACCATTAACTAACCATGAGTGACCAAAGGCTATCATCCTCGTCAAACTCCGATCCATGGATTACAAGAAAAGAGAAGAAGAAGAAGCCTACAAATTCCTCAAGAGTGTCCCCAACCCTGATGGCTCCCTCACCAGGCTAAAGCCAATTCCGGTCTCACCCTCCAACCCATCAGATCCCCAATTTCCCCTTTCCAAAGACCTTCCTCTCAACCCCTCCTCCACCACCTTCATCCGCCTCTTCCGCCCCCTGCCGCCTCCGTCGGATTCAAATTCTTCATCGCCGTCTAAATTTCCTCTGATCATCTACTTCCATGGAGGCGGCTTCATACTGTTCAGTGTCACATCTATCATTTACCACGAATCCTGTAACAGAATGGCGGCTCTGTTTCCCGCCGTCATCGCATCCGTCGAGTACCGTCTGGCCCCGGAGCACCGCCTCCCCGCCGCATACGATGACGCCATGGACGCTCTACAGTGGGCGAGAGATCAGGCGATTGGCGCCGCGAGCGGTGGGAACTGCGATCCGTGGCTGGATGAGCTTGTAGACTTCTCTAGAACTTTCCTGATGGGCAGTAGTGCCGGGGGGAATATAGTCTACCACGCGGCGTTGCGCGCGCTCGACACCGATCTCTCTCCCGTGAAGATCGAAGGGCTGATAATGAACCAGCCGTACTTCGGTGGGGTCCAGAGAACAGAATCGGAGAGAAGACTGGTCAACGATAAGGTGGTGCCGTTGCACGCGAACGACCTGATGTGGTCCCTAGCGTTGCCGAAGGGGGCGGATCGTGACCACGAGTTTTCTAACCCGTTCACTGTTGGGCCCCAGCTGGGGGAGAAGATCGGACGGCTGCCGAGGAGTTTGGTGAGAGGATACGCGGGGGACCCACTGGTTGATAGGCAGAAGGAACTGGCGAAGTGGTTGAAGGTGCACGGGGTTAGGGTGGTACCGCAGTTTCTGGAAACCGGGCATCATGGGGTGGAGGTTTTTGATCCCAGGAGCGCCGAAGATTTGTATGTTGCCATCCAGAATTTCATTTACGGTTGCGATGAAGGCAAAGGTGTAGTAAGGTCTGCAATGTAAATAAGGAGTATGTAATTGGGAAAGGGTGATATATGGGTAAGATCTTCAATCATAAGGGAATCGTCGTATACGGTCATTATTTAATAAAGTGTCAAATAAATACGTTTACTTATAAGAAAATAATTGAATGAGTCATAACGACCGTTGACAATCTCTTAATCTCGATTTTATTTTATGTGTCGTTATTTTTGTCTTGTATTTAAGTTAATTATGACTAAATATTTCACAATTGATCTTATATTCTGTTTTAAAAAAATAGCTGAATGAATGCTAAAATCGAGATAACGAGATTGTCAAAAGGTCATTAGGACTGATTTGATTGCTTTTTACAAGTAGACGTATTTATATGACACTTTATTAAGTACACGCCTTATGTGACAGATTCGTAATAGTAGAAGACCTTATTTGATTTTTTCCTATATGTAATTAAATGTGTTGTTTCTTTTTTATATCTCAAAGTACAATATTTTTAATTAACGTGCAAGGATATTGCTTTTAGGCTAAATCAGAATCGAATCATACTACATTCATACTTTTAATATTGACTTTTCTTAGTCAATGATGATAAATTTTGAAGAATAATTTAATTATCTTATTTATTTATGACTTAAAAATTTCATACTTTTATGAAAATATTTTATATAAGGAAAAATTCTGATCTAACCTTCATATTCAAAATAATTGTGCATCAAAAAATATCACTGATCAAAATTAATGTCATCAATCAAGAATAGTCAATTTTGCAAACATTTTAACGATCGGAATTTTACTTACCATTTACTTATATCAAATTTGATTAGATCACATCAAATCATATTATATGATATTATGAGTCACATAATACTAAAATACACATATTTCCTAGACTAGAGCCAACATTGCATTAGAAAATTTCAATTTAGTTAGTAACTAAGCGTTCGTTTGGTAACATTAAAATTGGCTGAATTGGTTGATTCTGCTGAAATTTATGAAGTTCTGACTGAAGTTACGGTATTGGGTGATTCGATTAATGAAAAATTACAAGTAAAATATTTGTTATTAATAATTAAATAAAAAATTATATGAAAAAATATCTAAAATGATCTTCTACAATAACTTCAGTCAATACAGCAAGAAAAGTAACTTCAACCTTACTTTTTCTGCTTATTAAAAACTTCAGCGCATTAAATCAAAAGTTACGTGTTTGGTGAAAAAACTGGCTGATAAACCTGATAAGTCGGGAAAAAGGTCTAGGAACGCACTAATTGCAATGTATTCTGTTTCACTAATTATTATGGTCATTGGATCGGATGCTCGCTATTTGTGATTTGTCTAACTATAGGTCCCTATGGTATGATCAACCATGGTAGAGGTATACAAGTTGTACACAAAATGTCGGTCACAGACAATTTGTACGGAATTGTCCGTGAGCACAGACAAGATTTGTCTGTGTACACAGACATTTTTTGTCTATGTACACAGACATTTACTTTTTCGTAAAAAGTAGACTGACAGTCGTCTGACACTGACCCCAGCTTTCAAATCAATCAATATATGTGCAGTGCCTATGTGCACGCACAATATTTTCATGTTGCACAGACAATTATTTGTCTGTGCGCACAGACAATATTTACCACACAGACAATAATTGTGCGTTTCACAAACAATAATTGCCTGTGTGATCAACTTTAGTTATCGGTGTGATCAATTTAATTGTCTGGGTGAATCAAAAAAAAAATAATGGTCTATATACATCCAACTGAATAATGTAGTTGTATGTGTAATCAATTTACATTTAATATGGAAAAAATTAGGAAAAATAATAAAAATAAATGAAATATGATGAATAAGCTGATTTTGTGCAAATAATGAAAAAATTTTGATCAAAAAAGGTAGAGAAGAAAAAGATGAAGAAGGAAAGAGGAGGATGGTGTGTACACTAAGCAAAATTCATGGTATGATTGGTCTTTATGGTGCAACATATAACTTGAGTACACCATTGTTGGAAAAATATGTTAAAAATTGCATTAAATGGTCATTTTGGGGCAATTATGTGAGTGGGGTCCACTTCCGATTTGGGTTGGGTCAAAGTGGTTTCCGATTGTCCTTGTTATGGGCTACAATTCGATATATGGTACACTCAAAACGGATAACGGGTGAATGAGAAATCGATTCTCGAAGTTCACTCGTTGAAATGGAAAAACTTAGAAAATGATGGGTTTCTAGTGTTGTTTTATACCACACCGGAAAACTCAAGAGATTTTCACCCCCTTATAAAGGGAAGCCTCTTTTAACGAGTTAGATTCCTAAAGGTAAAGGCTCTCTCTCACGCGCAGGGGCGGAGTGTCGATCAAATCCCGAAAACGGAGAAGAAAAACCGCGACTCGTGTGCGCGGGCGACCTGCGGACATGAATGTTTTCCGAAAATCTATCATTCAAAGATACGATTTAAATAGACAATTTATGGACGATTCAATGCCCAACGGACTGGTCGTTGATGTCCAACGTTTCAGGTCCATTAAAAACACCCCATTTAACACACATCAAATCCTCCTATAAATAGCTGGCAAGTGCTTTGCAACAACACATGCAATCATACACTATCTGCACGTATTTGAGCTCTAAAACACTTCCAGCTACTCCGAAAAAATTCCTGAGTGTTCTACTTTGTTCCCGTTCACCGGAACTCTCGTTTGTGTGCTCAAACGTTAGTTCGTTAGCCACCGTATCCTGAGAAACGGTCGTTGCAACGCTCCTAGCACCGTGGGAGACGACGAATACATTTCAAGGACATCGTGCGTTGCACGAGCTCTGGCTAAACTATGTTCCACCTATTTTCTGTTTTTCTTGGGCTATTTTATTTATTAATTAATTTGTATTAATTAATATTTCTTCGTTTTTCCGAGACACACCCAACAACCATTTCTTCTTATTATAAGGTAGTATTATTTTCTATTTATTTTTGTTTACACCATTTAACGCAAAAAAGGTTCCTCATTTTCGTCACAAATTGAAAACTTAAGTTCACAATGAAGTTTGTCATGTTCAAATGTTCATACATAAAGAGAAATATGTCAATGTATAGATGCACAAAATATCTTGCTGTACTTAAAGGGGTCGCCGTAATTGTTACGCGCTCATTCTATTGAAAGAAATGATTTTTTACTAAGACCTTATTTGATATCTTAGCAATCTAAGAAACGATCTAGAGTTTGGCGTTCTTTTTTAGACCAAATACCCCTCATTAGCCACCACTCTTCCATGAGTTCCATCTCTTGGTGAAATACAATGGTTGCATTGTCTTCTTGCTAATTTAGATGTCCTAGCTAGCTGCTAGTTGCCAAGCCGTATTTTTGTTTTGTGACATAGTAAGTCAGCTATTGCCATGTTGAGAATGATATATTCCATGTGCACGAAACACATTGACATAGATTGTTCCGCTGTTTTTCCTCTTTCAACCAAACTCGAGATGAATTTAGCAAGTCGTTAGCTTCTCAACAATTGCTTCTTTTTTGAGTCTATGTTGTGAATTTTATTCGATCACCAGCGTACGGGGGTTTCATAGCTAGGAAGTCCACGTCCCAATTGTTGCCAAGCGTGCAGATAGTTTCTAATCTACAGAGTACTATTTTTTTTAAAGAAAAAACTGTTACAATAAGTTCAAACTTCAAAGAAACCAACATTGACAACAAATATTCGTAATCAACTAGACTTAGACTATCAACACTATGACTAAACTTATAAACGATCACCGCTGAAAGAGCAATACAAATTGCTAGTCATCAACGGATGTGACACAACAATCACTGGTCATATAGATCCTTCTAACTAATATAATGTACTACGTATTATATATGGATTACTATGTAATTTCCATAACTCTATCTTATTATAAATATGATGGTAAGGCAACCAAGTGGGTAAACCATTATTTCCCAAATTCTATTGTTTTTTATATTAACGACATAATATCTAGCAGAATTGTCAATCATTATTATAGACCAAAAACGAAAGGCAACAACAAAAATAGAGCAACGTAAACAAACATAATGCGAAAATAAGACCATAGAATATCATCTTTCAAACACTGGCACCTCGATTGCTCTAAGGCGGTGGTTCAGGTGGTGGACGGACCGTCGATCCGTCTTCTCCCTTACTCAGCCCTTCACTGCTCCTCGTTTGCTCGTCGCCCGTGTCGCCTCCATCACCGCCCTCCACCCATGTTGATCTGCCAAAAACCAATCCTTCGACTTGCTCCTCAGTTGCTGGAATTGGACAACGTTGCACTATATCATTCATAGAAGTCATGGTTATCCTTTCTTGAACCTTGGATTCATTTCCAAAAGCTAAATCCTAAAGCCAAAGAATCAACAATATGAATCAAAAGCAATCTAGAAGTCTAGAGAAGAAAAGTTGCACGAACTATTGACGGAAGGATAGTGGCACAAACAATCGACCGAAGGAGAACCTTTTAAGCATAACTCGGGATAAAAATGGTGCGGCTGTGGGATTGGATTTGAAATAATGATGTACTAGTAGTAGTTTTGCTACAAGAATATCTATCAAGCTAACCTTCTAAAATGGAACTCAATAAACTACCTATTACCACCCTCAAGTTGAATAGCCTAATCGCGTGGAAAATATTTATTACGGACTACTATTTAAATAGCGTTAATTAATTGCTCATCTCTATTTTCAACTTATGAGATTTTTTTTATGAATATTACTAAACTATAGGTGAAAGACAAAAATATGACCTCTTTTGAAAATTTCCAAAACTATGACTTACCATATTATTTATGCTTTTTATTTAATATTGCATTTATTACTATAACATTCCTTTTTAATAATGAATATGGAATTAGGTATTATTGTCTAGCCACCTCAACAACCATCCTGTCACTGCCACCGCCTCCACTAACACTGATGCCGCCGCCATTAGTCATTGGACCACATTAGTGACTACCTTACATGTCAATTGATACGCTCGTAATTTCCATATGTATTTTTGTGTTTTTAATTAGTTTTGATTGATTTTTACTTTGGAAATTACACACTTTTGGTGTAATAGTTTAGTTTTTTAAATACTTGTAAATTGTTTAGATTAGGTTTATTCTGAGTCCAAACAGATCTTGATCACTCAAAGGCCAGTTGGTGAACCCCAAAAGTGGAAGGAAGGTGCAAAATCATAAGACATAAAGAAGATCCTGGTTTTTTGGTCTATACCCGGTCGAGTATGATCTATACTCGATCGGGTATCTTGTTGATATTTCAAATCAGATCGGATCCGAAGACAAAGGAACATGCAGGGAAGATCTTGACCACGATCGAGTGTCTATACCTGATCGGGTACACCGACACACCCGATCGGGTATGCCTTTAATTTCACCCCCGAATTCGATCGAGTATACCTCGAATCTAAGGTTTTACACATATCCGATCGAGTAAGTATAAGAACACATCCGATCGGGTATACCTATAGAATATAGCCCACAACTGATCGAGTATGTTTCGAACTTGACGTTTTACAAATACCCGATAG